TTGCTTGCGTCGTCGACGGTTGCTACGTCGTGTCATGCGGTGGTGCCACGCGCGCCGCTCGGCTGATGAGCCGCATCGATCAGGCGCGCAACCAAACAAGGGAGGCGCATGAATCATGGTGCCCTGTGCGCGCGCTCGGCCCGCCGTTCCTAGCTTATCCCCCCACTCCCACCGACTGCGCTGTGCCCTACGGCACGGACCACCCCTGTTTCGGCGCACCAGCACGCATGTATGCCCTGTCCCCTAACTATAACAATAATCACTCGATTTGCCTCCACTGAGCTATCGCTAGCTCTAATCAGAATCCAGTAAAGGAATGGGAAATCACACTGTGGTTCTTTCAATGGCCATGGCTGTGGTGAACAAAATAGTAAATCAAGGGAGGTTGAATCACTGCTGTTGGTGGATAACGTTGTGCATGGCACGTAAACTCGTACGTACAGTGCTCTTCTTTATGAATTCTTTTACCAAAAGCTTGAGATCAAAAGCATCAGACCAGACGCGGCAAACGCCAAAAGGGCTGTGGAAAGGGCTTTTGGATCGTTTCATTTCCGTCCATTCCTAGGTAGTGTCTCCGTGAGTCAGCATGACTTGACAAAGGCCGTCTCTTTTGCCATACAAAAAAAAGAGGATCGATCTTAAGTAGAAGTGGGGGCTAAAGGAGGCAGCCTACACTACACTGACTTAGCCAGGAAGACAAATGATCCGGGGCGAGTTGAAACCACACCGGACCACTATTTCCGCGGAATTTTATCTGATTTGTCGACTAGTGATGATTGATTTCAGGAACACCAGCTCGCAGGCACAAAATAATTTAGAACAAAATGATTAAATAAATACATACAACAAGACTGGAGCAGGATGCATCGTCATCATCATATATACATGCCACCTACCCTGCACTGCATCCAGCACCATAGAAAGAAGATACATTAGATTCAGGACCATTAGAAGCTTGTAAGTGCAGAGCAAAGTAGCCAGACGATTCCTGCCACTCTTCTGCGGGCGGGCTGTGTGTGATGGGGTATGTCACCTACCGTCCCATCTCTTTTGTTCTGTTTGGTAAGCAGAGCTAGCATAGCAAATAGCATTAGCCGGCCAGGAATCTCCCTCTGTTCCCTCAAAAAATAATCTCCCTCTGGCTGATGGAGTGTGGCATGCATTTTGCGGTTGGTAGCGGAAAGCGCAGGGAATTATTTGCGCCATTTTACGGTTGGTGGCGCAAAGGCCTAGAGAATTATTTTGATGGACCTCTGCTCGCTCCATTATCTTGCGCGGGGAGGGTGAGGTTGGGAATCTGTCTACTGAACATTCGGTTGATTTTGGGCTCCCTAGCAACCGGTTGTTTCAAAGCCCTAAAACAACCAGAAAAACAAAAAAGAAAAACGGTTGTTCCAAACCAATGAAACAACCGATTTATAAAACCACAGGATCAACATCTAACAACTTCTTTTGGTGTTGTAGGCCCAAAAATTAAGAAAGAAAAGGCCCAAACAACAAAAAGGCAATAGGCCCAAAAATGAAACTCAGAAAACAACGGAAACAGAAGCCCATATAAAAGCCGTCAACTTATTCACCAAGGAAAAAGAGAATAAAAAACAGATCTGAATCGAACAAAAAAAATGAGACGGGTGATAACTTACCTACGTGCAGAACAAGCATAGAAAGAGAGGGGAAAAAGGAAGATCGAGATCTACAGATGGATGAAGGGAGCAGATCTGGAACTACAGAGCAACAAAGGATCAACATCTACGATCAGGTGCATCCTACTCCTTGTACATCACCCACGGCACAGCACTTCCCAATCCGACTGCCATACTGATTCTCCATCACTGCAGTGAAAAATATCATTTATGATGTAAATTAATTTGTGTCCCTAGTAGTCAATAGCATGCAGTAGTAAGTTAATTTGCATTTCCCAAAGTGATCGGCGTGCAGTGGTAAAAAAATTAGTAGCATGTATTCCTTCTCTAGTAGAGTGGCCAGCTTGCGCACAAGGGAAATCATGACTACACAAAACAATACTCACCATGATTTCCTACATTGTTATTTCCCCTTCCAGCACTAAAAATCTCTCTGTGTCAGCTGCTCAGTTAACATACAAATTTCTAATCTCTATGCTTGGCAAATATTCATGGTTTTATTAGTCAATCTGTCTACCAGGGAAAATTAAGTTTTCAGACAAATTAGATTAAGTCCTGAAAGAAATATGCTTGCCATGTAGATTATAATTGGTCTACTGGACACACTACGAAATTTATCAAATATACTCGGTATTCATTTGCAGTATACTCTCTTTCATTGTCCAAAATGCATCTAACAAAACTAGATGTAACAAACTCTCTTCTTAATGCAATGTCATGCAGTTCTCTTGCATGTTCAAGAAAAAAAAAGTTGTCTAAAATGCAGAATCTGGAGGCCAAAATATTTAAATCTTTCAGATCTATGAATTTAACACAAAATTAAAAAAAAACAGTATACACAGGAGTACAGGACAATCATGCCATATTCAAGATCTAATCAGAAATGATCCATTTTATAATCACACATGAGGTTCATAGAAAAGGTATATAACAAATCATTCAAGCATTCAGCAGTTCAGCTGAAGTAAGAGCCTGCATTTTTCTAGCTCTACACTAGAACCACAAACAGTCAGCCTACTTAGATTTACAAAAATTCATGAAAAAAAATCAGCACATATCTAGGCAATGCTGCCTAAAACAAGGCATCAGAGCATTTAGCCCACCGAGCCCTGGGTGTGGAATCAGTAACCATGCATAAGGTGTTTCTGGTAGCGAGTCAGAAAACTAAACAAACTATCCAACAGTTTCATATGAGGGGATTCCCAAAAAAAAACATGTTCCACAGAGTGGGGGAAAGTTTGGTGCAATATGCAATTACATCTAGCATCTAATAGTTGTGAATGTGTGTGCCCTTTAGGAGACTACAGGTTCAAGAACTGAAATATACTGGAACTAAATGAAAAATAAATGAAAATGGTCATCCAAATAAATTATGAATACTGCATGTTTTAGTCCTCACCTGATTAAGCATCCACTTGAAGCCAATAGCAGCAGTGCAATCAGCAGGTGCACAAATGCATATTCCATTCAGTGCCAGTATATACATTGCAGCCCTTTTCTGAGGTAAGATCTGTTATTTTGTAACCTTCTGCTACAAAGTAACAAACCTGACAGCAAAATAACACAAATATGAATACTCAGGTGGGTTGAAGCATCCATTTGGCTACAACCCTAATAAACAGTGGGTAAAACAGGGCAAAAAAATTCTATACTGACTAACTTATTACTACATTTTGCATGCAGGATGGAGTGGGGGATACATGTAAGGACAAGTTTACAGCGACATCACTGCAAGAAAACCAACTGCAGGTAACTTCTGAAACATAAAAATTTGCAAAAAAGAAAAAATCAATACTTCATACTATAACTTAAATACTGTATGAAATTCATATATCCAAGACAAAATTTGAAAAAACAGGTACAATTGCCATACCTTGCAAGCAATCCGATTGCAGCAACAACTTCAAGGCCTCTGATGAACCAATGGCAGGACGAGTTCGGGCTGATGTACAACTTCCAGGTATGAAAAAATAAATAATAAAAAAAGACATAAGATAACAGCAAGTTTTGTAAACCTTGATCATGTACTGTTTACAGATTGATGAAGGGACATCAACACAAACAATATATATGTAAAGGTGTTCAATTGCATCTGTGCCAAATTTAACAAAGACGGCATCCTCTGCTCACACATCCTGAAAATAATGATAGAAAAGGAAGTTAGCAGGATACCAGATAAATACATAATAGATAGATGGAGGAAAAAGGGATGTGAGATTGGTCAAGCAAAAAATAGAAGAGAACACAGTGGCAACAAGTTCATTGCTCAGGTTCAATGTACTATCAAGGAAATCTACAATTTTGAATTCAAAAGCAGCTAAAAAAGAAGAAGCAACATAATACCTTATGGCAGAAATGGACAGGATTGACTTGCACCTGGAAAAGCTGCTGGCACCTCAAAGAACTGATAAGCTTAGAACGAACTAAGTTCACATGAACAGGGACAGACAATAGAACCAACAAATGCAGCACTGAATAGTTCAAAAAGTAATATTGAAGATCCAGAAACAACAACAAAAAGGGGCAGGCCGCCATTGCCGAAAAGAATAAAGCCATTAATAGAAGAAGTTAAGCAGAAAATGAAGCAAGAAGAAAAAGAAAGCAACATCAAATGAAAGCACAAGTAAAAAACATATAAAAACAACTTTTCTATGTTCAGTTTAGTAGCTATTAATTTTTTTTCATACACAATCAGATAAAAAACAGCATTGATCAAAAACATTTTTTAAACTTGTAGGCTCACCAGTCAAGCCCAAGTCCAAGAGGATGAAGGAAGCTACAAAGAAGAACACTGATGCAGCATAAAACAACTCAAGAGGGCGAAAAGCAAGAAGTAGGGAGAAAGCATTGATTGTGGAAAAGGAGGATTGGATAGCAAAAGTAATAGTTGAAGCAAAAAAAGGAAAATGGTGTATCTATTTAGACATTTGTACTTGGTTAAAAAAATATATATGTAAAGGTGTTTGGTTAAATTATGGAGATATTGAACTTACTGTATGGAAAAGCTTTTTTAGAAACATCAATGATGCACTTGTGGGTTATATGCAATGTAGAGAACTATACAGTGCTAAAAAAATATCATTCATATTCTATATAGTAAGGTACCAAGCATTCAAACACAAAAACCTACTGGTTACAGAAAAAACATATATGATAATAAAACTTCATAGCACAATGTGCAATCATGCACGTCACTGCACACTCATCTCCTAGAAAAAAGGGACAGGGAAAACATCTATACGTAGTACACCAAGAAAAAAGAGCTTCCATCATGTTGAGGCTACAGCTCATGCATATCTACATAGCTATATTTCTGCATCAATTTTCTAACTATGACCATTTTGAGGTTCTCTCTATTCACATACCCCGAGGATCAATGCCCTGTAGTATAGAAAGTTAAAAAGAAATGTATCAAATAAAAATGGAAAAAATGAACATAAGACAAATGAGAAAAAGGATGTCAAGCTAACCTGCTCAAATAAATTCTGTACTAGTATTTTGTCAACAACATTCTTCTTGCTGAAAAAAGTGCATTCCCAACCTTGACTCTTAGACTAGGGATGTCAGACTGATCAAAAACATGCCTAAGGTCCATACTGTTATCCCATAACTCCATGAACTTAATAGCAAATATGCCACAATCATGTCTGATAGAAAAAACACAAATATCAATCGGTGCAGCTTAATAAGAAGAACAAAAAAAATTGAATAGATTAAACTTACATGTTGTTCTGTTTAGGGACAGGAGGGTACACAACTGAAAAAACATCCAGGTCTAACTTTACTTCAGCGTGTTCATACCAACACTCTTTGAAAGCCGGAATCTGCACAAAAAAAACAAAAAAAAAACAGATGTTGCTCTACATTGCAAATGCAACCTGAAATATATAGGCTAGAATTATATGGAGATGCAAGATACTTACAATACTATCCCTTGTCTCAATTTGAATGCTATCATTCTCACCAAACATAGAGTCCAGAAAAACAAATAGTTTCAGCCTCAAATCCACAATGAAAACAGACCAATGCTTTATGTGTGCGTGGAAGATAGGGAAACAAAGCTGCAAAAGGGGAAAACATCTTAAAGAATAACCAAAAGAATACATGAACAAATACACAAGACTAAAGAGACAAGTGCATTTACAAACAAAAAAATGTCTTACTTTATCAGCTAAATGAAACTTTAACGCTGAATTAGCACCAAGAAAAGAATTCTTTACAGTATTGGCTTCATAGGTAGATATATATGACAACAAACACAACTAAAAAATAGATAATTAGAAATAGATACAACAAACAAAGCACAAAAAATAATACATGGTCACTATACATACACCAATCCTAGGGTAGAAAAAGTGCTTCCTTGATTCTTTTGGGTGACTATCATCAAAGAGCTTACGACAATATCCAGCAATGAAAAAATTATCAACATGGCCCAAAGGCTCTATTGATTCACCCAAAGACTGGTATGTAACACTAGTCTTGAATAGCTTAACACCCTCAAAGCTACATAAAACAAAAGATACACATGAAAACCTAAATGACAAATAGACAAAAAAAATAATATACAAAAATAAAATGAAAAAATTATGTACCAGCTCCATTGGCTGTGAGCAAGACCACAAAAGACTTTATAGTAGCGCATCTCAGTTTCAGACACATTAAAACGACGAGAAGATTTTTGATGCTCGAGACTATGATCTGCACAATACACAAAATGTAAGGGAAAATGAAAAGCCACAGCTAGACAAAATAGACCAAAAATAAACATGAAATGGAAACAGCATAGTCCACATAATTTTAATTATATGAAAACTGAAAATAGAATAAAATGGACCACAAATGAACCTGAAATTAAAAACCTCGATTCTACAATAATGAAAATGAACTAAAACTATCTTAAAATGAACCTAAAATCAAGAACTGAGATTCTAAAAAAGTAAAAATGAACTATAACTGAAATAGAGATTCAGATTGATTCTTGAAAACAACAAGATTCTACGGTACTGAACCTAAAATAAAAATGACAAGAACTGAACCTAAAATCTAAAAACTGAACTAACTGAAACTAAAATCTATGCACTAAACTAAAACTCTGAAAACTAAACTAAAATAAAATTTACAAAACTAAATCTATAATCAAACACAACTAAAAATGAAAAATAGACTATACTAAACAAGTATAGAAACATTTCACCTTCAACTACATGAGTCATGTTATTGGACATCCGGATGTTCAAATTCTTTTTGTTGTACAGTTGGTCAGCTAATTCTCCCATGTCCAAGGAACGACCTTTGGATTTTGTTTCCTTAAAAATATAGACCTTAGGTGAAACCTGCCTACAACCCATACAATAAATCTAAAAATAAGAAAATATAATTTCAACCATGACCAATAGCTTAATTTAACATATAAAAAAGATCCCCGCCTAATTATACAGAACTTACATCTTTGATAGGGTTTGGAATTGAAGCTTGTAACGATGGAACTGCAGGTAGATGAAGTTTGCTAATGAAACGATTAGGCTTCGATTTGGGATTCATCGGCATTGCTGGAGCTAAAAACAAATACACAGTAAATACAAATACTAGAAACTAATAATAGTTAATACAAATTTCATATGAAAAACACAAAAAGAAATACAATACCATGCTGCGATGATACAGATGTATTCCTACTAAACTCCCTCCCAAACAAGAATACTGGTGTGTCGAGAATAGGAACATGATTTGCCTTGACTTGGTTCTGAAAGCTTTTAGTAGCTTCAATTCCATTGTATATATTCTACCCAAGAAATTGAACAAAAATAGATTCACATGAATTAATGATTTGAATATAAAAATATATAACTTAAAAGAAAAAACCAGAAATACGCACATATGTAGAATGATGGAGACCTTTATCTGATGCAGCATACTTTCCATTTTCGCCATTTGTGCTTGGGGGCTTCCCATGAACTATGTCTGAAAACATTTAAAAATAAAAAAAATGCTAAAATGCTTATTAATGACAACAACCCAAAATCCAAAAGAAAAAAGCATAATTGCACAACATATTCAACATAAAGTTTCTATACATGCCTGAAGCTGGTGGGGCTTTTTTATTCATGGAATTAAAGTTAGCATCATGGTTGTTGCAAACAGGTGCATTACGGCAAGCATGGCTACTGTGTGCTATTTGAGAACCGTGGGTTTTCTTCCCCAGGTTTTGAGATGCATCATGAAGGATCTGTAGAACACTGAGCACTAAGCTTTCTGCTGGCAGACCACAGTAATGACACTTCCCATATGAATTATCTTGAACAAGGTTGCATAACTCATCAACAACCTAATACAAAAATATAATAAACTTAACAAAAAAATAAAAGAAGATGACAATAGGTAAAATGAAACGAAAAAAAACATACATCAGGAGGCAAATGCTCTCCAAAATATGTTGTAAGCTTCTCCTTGAATGCATTTCTTTTGAAGGACTCCTAGTAAATTTAAACAAAACAATATAAAAAACACATATAAAAACTTACAAAAAAAAACAAACCTCATTCTCTTCATGCAGATTGAGTTTGGTTTTATCAGGGAGCTCCTGGACATATTTTACTTTCTAAAAGAATAGTCAAAAACAAAAAAAATCAACTTCAAATCTAAGTAGATATGAATTGAAAAGCAAAACTAACATACCTTCTCCTTACAAAAGTTAATGAACTTTTGCATCATTTCTAAATGAGCTTCCATCAAAACAACCTGAAAAATAAATAGGCAAACAAAAATAATAATAAGAATTAACATAAAAGAACAGAGTAACTACATAAATGATATACTTACACTCTTATCATCTTCAAAATCTTCAAACCTAAAAAAGTTGTTATGCTGCCCTAATCGAACAGGAAATGAATTACCACCATGGTCCGTGGGGCTCTTCCTTTTCGTAGCCATCTGATTCATAAAGAAAATAAAACACTTCAGGCATTAGGTCAACATCATGCAAAGCCAGGGAGCAAGCTCAAAGTCAATGGGTGCATGCCCTAAAAATAAATTCTAAATGATTTGAAGTTAACTAGTACTGATACAGACTATAGAATGTAATCCTCAGAAAGAGCAGCAGACCAAAAACCGAAAGTACTCAGTAAGCAATAGCAGAAAATGAATCTAATTCAGGGTACTATAAATCATTAACTAGCAGCCAGCTAACGTGCGTTGAACAAAAAACTCATGTGCAAGCAGCTAAGAACAAAAAAAACTAGAATAGGGAGGATCCACTTATTCTGAATGAATGAGAATAGGCATGGTAGTCAACTTGCTTGAAAAACATTACAACTTTGTAGTAAGAAAAACAGATAGGTAAACATTTTGGTAGTATGAAAATAGCATGGCTCATAAAAATTGAATACAGATTGACTTGCTCTGAATGATAATGCAAACCTGTAGCTGAACAAAGTAAATATTGATGATACTAGCAGGCTGACAAAAACACTAGCAAGAGAAATATAGCTAAACGTACAAAGAAGATTAGAAACCAAGTAATGATTAATGAAAAGGACTACAGCTAGATTGCAGATCTAAACTGACAAAATGGTTGAGAGAATAATACCAGAACTTTATATGAAATGGCTGTTGCACCAAGTTTCTGAATAGAGAACCAACACTGAGGAATAGTAGTAATTGTTGCCACTTACTGCTGATATGAAAACAAAAAAAAAAAGCTTTGAGCTGCTGAACTAAAAAAGAGCAAATCACATAAACTGTAGTTCTTGCAACATGAACAGAGATATAGAGAAGGCAAAAATAGAAAAAGCAAGGAACTGAACTCAAAATAAATAAACTACCTGCTACCACAGTTCTACTACTACGAATATAAAACTAGAGTAAACTAATAACTAAACTGACGATAAAACTGATTTATTTCTGTTGCAAAAGGAAGGAACCGATCCGAACAAATTGAAAGCACTGGCCCCCGGGCCACATACGGCCATGCAAGAACATGCACGCATGCATTAATAAAAAAATCCTGAATTTCCTAAAGTTGTGAGGAAGCAAAACGGCAAAAAGCGTATTAAATTAGTCACTAAAAAGCTGGCTAACAAAAGCTCTAATAAGCAAGCAAATATTAAACAAAAAGAGCCAATTGGGAAGAACAACACAAGCTGCAGGTGAACTTAACTGAATAAGACCAAGATTATTTCTCTCACAGAATTAATTAATGCTCCTAGCAAAACACAAGATAGCAGACTGTTTCTTCAGAGTACAGCTAACACAATGCAACGCTGAAATCCACCGGATCGAGCTCAACGCCAACAGCCAGTGACTGCGTACAAATGACGTGATGGTGCTTGAAAGATCAAGTCATGTCAGTGAGACAAACTGTCATGCAAAAACAAAACTCAAAAGAACTGTACTGTAGCTGGACAAAGACGTTTCACAAGCTAGAAAACTCAATCCAACGTTTAGCTTGAGAGGTACTGCTGAAACACCAAACACGCATTTGAGACACGTAGTCCGTTCACCGATAGCAGCAAGCACGAGAAACTGAACCAACTTCAAATCTGAACTGACAAAACCAAGAGAAGAGGCACCGGAAGGATCAGTGCTGATAGAGTCCAAGCACCAGAAAAGAAAAGCTACCGACTATCTGAAAGTACCGAAACTGGTTACTGCATCTGAACTGAAAAAGAAAGACGGATTCTCTAAACTGAATTGGTGAAGCTACAGAGGACATTGCTGAATGCCAGCCGCCGCCGCCGTTACGATAGAACTGAGAAGAAAAGCAGCCAGCAAATAAGAGAAATGGCACAGATTTATCAGCATGGACAGATAACTGAGAAGTAACTGATTTCAGCACATAACAATTGGACAGCAGTGACAAATAAACAGTACCATGTATTTGTACATAAAAGAAACTGAAAGAGAACAAGAGTGATGGACCTTACTATATATCTACTCAAAAGCCAAATCATTACAAGCAAAAAACAGAGGACTAGTGAGACAAACATGAGCTGAAACTGAACCATGTCTCTGTACTAAACTGAAAAATGAACAGATCTCAGCTGCCGCCCACCAACATCCAGCCCCAATTCCAATTTCCCTTCCACAGCAGCAGCCTCCCGCCATACCCGCACCACCCATCCCCAACCCGGTAACCATGGCCGAAAGCCGTCACCGTCCTCCCTGGCGCCCCTCCTCACGGCGGCAGCGACCAACCCGATGACGTCACGCCCGAACGCACCATCGCTCTTCCATGACGCCCCTGATGGTGGGGACGCCAGCAGCGCCACGCGGAACACATCGAGCCGCGAGCCATGCTCGGCGTGGAAACGGAGGCAGCGACTCACCGTGGCCGCAGCCCCGCCAGTGGCTGGCCGCGGGCGAAGTCTCGGTCCGTGAGGTCGAGCACCGGGGAGGCGGCCAGCGCGACCCCCCGCGCTCCCATCCACAAACACAACCTCATTCAGATCCTCTCCTATACATCAACATGCCGACGCAAAAAAAAAACTGCCTGCCGCCGCAAAACACAGAAGACCCTAGCATCGATGAAAATAAAACACAAAGAGAGGGGGCAGGGGGACTTAGCTCGTCGAAACCTAAAAATCATCGGTCGCCGCGCCGGCGGGCGGCGAGTCGCCTAGACTCGACTGGAGGAAGACGAAACAAAATGGAAATGGGGAAATGGACGCGATGAGCCCACATGTCACTGCCACAAAAACAAACACAGGCGCAGACACGAGCGGAGGGGGATCGAGAAGAAAACAAACAGAGATCGCACGCTCCAAAAGAACACACGTGACAACATCGACGGCCACAAAAACGGTTACTGCAAAGACACAAAACAACCGGGCAACATGTAGAAATTGTGTTTATATAAGTTCAGGACCAGTTGGACTAGGCTTCTTGCTGTGAATTGAGAGAATTTGAGATGCGAGGTGGATGGTGTTGCCGCGTTGGTATTTTGAGTGTCTGCGCTTTTCGTGGCAGTGGCAGGCAGAGATTTCTTTTGAGAGGGTGGATAGAGAGGGAGAGAGGCATTTTACTTTTTGGACTTGCCAGCTCGGACGTCCGATTCGGGGTGCTAGCCTCGGACGGTACCCGTTCAGCGAGTGAGCGAGCATTTCAACGCATCGGGCTTGCGAGTGAGTGCCCTAGCGCCGCCGGTCGTTTCTCACGCGCATTCCATGTGAAAAGACCCAATCTATTTTTTGAAACATCCATATGCAACAATTGCAATTGTAACATATAAAAAGAAGACAGATGAAACACTTGAAACATGCGTGCACAACACTTGCAAAACACTTGAAAACCATAGCAGTCATATACAAAATCCAAAGGAAACACTTGCAACATATGTATGAAACACCTGAAACACTTGAAACATACACTTGCAACATGCAGGTATATGCAACATCCAGATCTACTTTTGCAACATCCAGATGAAAACACTTGCAACATATGTCTGATACAGATGAAACATTTGGAACATACACTTAAAACATGTGTGCATAGCGATTTCTACTTTTGCAATATCCCGATCTACTTTTGCAACACCGTTACGAGACGCTTACAACATAACTCTAAAACATATGTTTGTAACATGCGCTTTCAGCACAACATCTTTTTTGCTGCTTGGTAATGGAGGCTCGTCGGCATATAGAGTTCACCGGTATAGAGCTCGCCGCTTCGGTGGAGAAGGTTGCGATAGGTCTGGTGGAGAAGGTCGTGATAGATCCAGTGGAGAAGGCGTGACGGATCTGGCGCGGGCTGTCACCGCTCCAGTGGAGAAGGCTGTCCGCTTGTAGAAGAAGGTTGCGGTGGATGTGAGGCGTGACGGAAATGGATGAAGGTGGGCGACCGCGACGAGCTGGAGGCACGATAGAGATGGAGGAAGGTGGGTGGCTGCACTCAGCCACGATGGAAATGCCGGCTGACGAGCACTTGGATGTCGTGGAGAACACCGAGGCGGTGCAACGGAGTGCGGTCACGGCGTTGCAGAACGGAAACGTCCAAGTGTTGAAAGCTTTCTGGAGAGCGGAAGTGTGAGCGTTGGAGAGGATATAACTGTTGGGCACTTGGGCGGTGTCATGGCTCGTGAATGGGAGCCTCTGGACGATCGGATGTCCTCATCACAGTATTTACGTTTACTTTTTTTTTTCCCCAATCCGGTAGAGAGAAAGCGGCGTAGAAGCCCAGCCAATTGTGATGGTGAAGAACCAGAAATGAGGCCCAAGTTTAGAGCAGCAGGAGCACACAGGCCAAGCAGCCCAACCTCACCAGCAGCCTAGCGGCAAGCAGCACAAGATGGGCTCGCCTCCACAACCGTGGGCCGGGCCGCCACTCTTTGCTGCCAGCAGAACGACGGTGCCGCCATCGCGTTTCTTCTCCAGTTCTGCTCGTTGAGTGCATGCCTGGCATAGTGGCATACGACTTCTTTCCTTTTTTATAAGAAGACGCTTGCTTGTTTTTTTTTAAAGACGCTTGCGACTACGTTGTCAGTGTGACTTGCCAGACGTCCGGTACAGACAAACATGGCCACGAGCCCACTACCCATGACAAAAGGATGGTCCAATTCAGAAACTTCTGCAGATGAAAATTCTCATCATAATTAATACTCTACATGCAGGAATAAAGAAAATGTGCTCGCTTTCATATCCTCCTCATCAAAAAGAAAAGAAAAGAAAACTACGGCGAAAAGGCCAAGTGGCCAAGACAACACAGGCAAGCCGCAAACCTAGGCGGCTTACCACGTGGACGCCTAAAAGAACCAACGCCACTCGCTCGGCTCCTAACTCTCCAACACGATGCACGATGGCTCGCAGAATCGCACGACTCCCTCGTCTCCCTGCCACTGCCAGCATGCAGAGACGTGGGATTCTTTTCACGGACACGCGGCACAAATCTGGAGGTGGTATGCATGCACATGCGGTCTCCACCGGATTTTTTTTCCCGGCAGCACCCACGCGCATATTCGCTCCGAATCCGGGGGTCCACGTCGACCAAACACCGTGCCAAGTCACGGCTCCACCACACATCAAGATCTCCCCCGGACCCACCATTCCTAGTGTCACCACCCTCCCTCCCTGACACCGGGCCCCGCCCACCGGAATCAGCACGAGCCGCTACCCGCGCGCCTCCCCGTCCGGGCCCCCACCGGCCACCGCCGTCGCCTTCCTCGTCTTTCTTCCCCGCCGAACCGCCCCAACTCACGCGCGACTCGCTCCTTCTACGCGCTTCTAGAACCAACAAAGGCCCTTAACCCAGGTCAGCCCTCGCGCTCGTGCGTCTGTCAAGCCCGCCGCCGGCCGACGGAGGCGGCGGCGGCGCCTTCGTCTTCATCTCCAAGGGGTGGCGCGAGGTGCGGGACTCGGCGTCCGCCGACCTGCGCCTCATGCGCGCGCGAGCAGACTCCGTGCGCGCCCGCGCCGACCGCGAGCTCGAGCACCTCCTCGCGTCCGCGTCGGCGCTCGCGGCGGGGCCCGCGCCCCCGCTGCTGCCGCCCGTGGCCACGGGGGCGCCCATTGCGGAGGTCGAGTTCGTGCGCAAGCGGATCCAGCCCAAGATTCAGGAGCTCCGGAGGCACTACTCGTCGCGGGCGCTCGACGCCCGGTGGCCGGCCGCCGGCGCCGGCGCCGGCGCCAGCAGCCTCCGCATCGACCTCTCGGGGATTACGGCCGTTCGCAACGCTATTGTAGCAGAAGGGGAAGGCGGAGATAGGTGGAGGAGGATCGCGCGGCGGAAGGGGGACCAGGACGAGGAGGCGGAGGGGAGGAAGGCGTGGGAGGTGGTCCGGATGATACAGCGCGGGCTCAAGGAGTTCGAGCGCCGGAGCCTGTCCAGCGACATGTTTGCTGGATTCCGAGGCCGTGGCGAGTTTGTGGAAAAATTTAAGTTGAGCATGGTAAGTTTCAACCATAGCGTTTATTTAATAGGATGGTGCACTCGTGCTTGTTCTACCACTTACATTGAAAACTTAAATGAAAGTAGTTTTAGCTAGTTGTTGTCCTAAAACTCAGAACTGAGGTGTGACCGACAAACACTGCTTCAGCACTTCAGCAGCAAAACTTTGGCATCCACAGCAACAAAATCTTAGGGATTTCTTCGCTAATCTTTTGACGTCAATTTATTCATAATATATTAGCATTAGCAGGCTAGCACACTGTTTATGTGGGCATTTATTTCGATATTGTAAGGTGTTTCTATAAGCATCCATCCATATAGTATATTTAAAAAATATTATTGAAAAATCATCCTGGAGTACACTTAGCTTAGTGATCACTTTATTAGCAGAGTTCAAAATCTCTTATAGGCCAACTATTTTGTTAGCAGACAAGTATTTGGTGAATTTTGTCAGCAATTGGGTCTTTAACAAAAAATGATGCTATCGAGTTATTGAGTACACTATGCTAGAGTTGATGTCTGGTGTTGATGAAAGTATTACAGATTAATATGAATTCTTTTCCTCTTTTGCAGAATTCACTGAACAAGGACTATCAGGAATCCAAGGTAATTCCATAAGAAACAATGTATAACTGCTTGAAACATTCTGTGTGCTGCAGATATAGAACAGCTAATGATTGAATTTGGATACATTTTCCCTGTTATTACATATTCTGATGTAGCTAGATTCCATATGCATAGTTGTATATCATTTTTGCAAACTGCAAGCTTATACTAGATATACCTGCAGTACTTTGAGAACATAATTTCGTTTTGTAATGTAACCTGTTCCAGAGAACAATGATGCCATAGAAAATATTGATTCTTACTAAGCAGGGTTGACATAATTAACTTTCAAATATTGTTTGCATAAGATGTCAATGGAGCCAAAATATTTTTAGAGATAAGATGCCTTCAAATATATAGACAGCGAGTTCTTTATTTTTAGTACAAGTAGCTTTCAAGCCTTTACAAAAGCAGACCTTTTCTCAGGGTTTTGATTATTAACTGATAATGCAGTTTCTTGTGCTAGTTGATCTGATTGCTTATTGTTTAGAGTGTGTTGTTCTAAACTGGTGCTGGAATATTATGCAGGAAGTTCCACCACTGCATCTAACTGAAATTCTGGCATATCTGGTTCGGCAATCTGGGCCATTTTTAGATCAACTTGGCATACGGAGAGGTATGGATCATCATTGTTTGTTTGGACTCTCCAGTCTTGGTACTTGTTGCTGACCATCTTATTCTTACTAATGTTATGGTGCAGACCTTTGTGACAAACTAGTGGAGATGTTATACAGTAAACGAAATGGTCGGCTCATGTATCATTCTCTTTCACAGGATAGACCCTTAGCTGTGAAACATAACTGATGAGCTTGATCTAAGAATAGCTAGGGTATTAGAAAGTACTGGTTATCACACAGATGAAGGTTTTTGGATTGACCCTGCAAAGTACAAGATCTCAGACAACAGACGGCATGTTGCTATTGTCACCACAGCAAGCCTTCCATGGATGACAGGAACAGCAATCAATCCATTGTTTCGTGCTGCATATCTGGCAAGAAGTGCAAAGCAGAAGGTGACATTGGTGGTTCCATGGCTCTCTAAGTCAGATCAAGAATTGGTTTACCCAAATAACATCACCTTCAGTTCGCCAGAAGAGCAAGAAACTTATATAAGGAACTGGCTGCAGGAAAGAATTGGTTTTGAAGCAAATTTTAAGATATCCTTTTATCCTGGCAAGGTAAACACGCAATCTTTGTGATCCCACTGTTTATGTTCTGATTCCTATGGACGAAAACGGTACGGATATTTATTCGACCGTCCGTTCGACCGAATAAATATGAACACTTATCTGGATAGTTACTCGGATATCCGGTTTTTTTTTCGGATACGGATACTAAAACGGATATCTTAGGCGGATATCAAATACGGATGTAATATCATCGATATCCGGCGGATATCGGATAATCCGGATAAGTATCGGATATATCCGGATATTTAAAAACGGATATTATCCGGATATTTATTCAAAATTTGACCAAATTTGACTTGGTCAAACTTGCTCAAATGAGACACTAAATGACCTCAGATGAAAAAACTCTGAATACCAAGTTTGATTATCTCAGCAAGATATACAATTGTTACATAGCTCATTTTCCCATTTGAGAAAGTTTTATCAAACACTAGTCACAAATTCTTGAATCTCATATAGACTTTCTGAAACTATGTCACACACTTGTGAAATTTGAACTACATTTTGTTTAAACTTTCTCAAATGAAAAAATAGCCTATATAAGAATTGTAGATCTTGATGAGCTGAACAAACTTGGTATTCAAAACTTTTCAATTTGAGACAATCTAGGGTTTCGAAAACTAGTTTGTAAGCATCGAAATTTAAAAATCATAAATTTGAACCGTCCAAACTATCTCAAATGGAAAGTTGACCAAAACAAGAATTGTAGATATTGATGAGTTGAACAAACTTGGTATTCAAAACTTTTCAATTTGAAGTCATTTAGAGTTCATAATACTAGAGTCAAAGTGTTGTTTTTTCATTTGACCAAATTTGACTTGGTCAAACTTGCTCAAATGAGACACTAAATGACCTCAGATGAAAAAACTCTGAATACCAAGTTTGATCATCTCAGCAAGATATACAATTGTTACATAGCTCATTTTCCCATTTGAGAAAGTTTTATCAAACACTAGTCACAAATTCTTAAATCTCATACTGAGACTTTCTAAAACTATGTCACACACTTGTGAAATTTGAACTATATTTTGTTCAAACTTTCTCAAAATGAAAAAAAATGGCCTATATAAGGATTGTAGATCTTGAATCCATGACCATGACTCCATGAGACCCATGAAGCAATGTGCTTGGCTATTTACTCTCATGCCGAAGATTGGTGCTTATATGATGTTTGATGTATGATGTATCGTATCTTTATCTTATTTGTTGCTTTACTCTTTAGTCTTTCGGATTAATCTAGATGGATTATGGACTCATAGAGTGGTGTAATGGTTTTATGCATTATCATATATATATATATATATGCTGCTTTTACTCAATATCCGAATAGATATTTGTATCCGACCTTCTCCGAATCCGATTCATACCGTATTCGATACTCATTATTCGTATCCGTAACCGAGTCAATCCGTATTCGTATATGTATCCGAACGCTATCCGTGTCCGAATCCGAATCCGAACAGAAATATGAAAACAAATATAATATGAGTGATATCCGTTCGTATCCGATCCATTTTCATCCCTACTGATTCCTAGTATAGTATTTTGTTTTCTTCCCCTGGGATTTCATTACTCATGAGATGTTATTTCTGCAGTTCTCAAAAGAGCGCCGCAGCATTATTCCTGCTGGGGATACTTCACAGTTTATCTCCTCAAAAGAAGCTGATATAGCGATTTTAGAAGAACCGGAGCATCTCAACTGGTATCATCATGGAAAGCGTTGGACTGACAAGTTCAATCACGTCATTGGTGTAGTTCATACAAATTACCTGGAATATATCAAGAGAGAGAAAAATGGTGCTATTCAATCTTTTCTTGTTAAACATATCAATAACTGGGTGACTAGAGCATACTGCCATAAGGTATTTGTTTAGGTCAGTTTTTGTGTTAAAGTCCTGTTTGTGAGAACTCAGCTAATAATGGGTGCATGCAGGTTTTACGTCTTTCTGCTGCAACTCAAGATCTACCGAGGTCTGTTGTTTGTAATGTACATGGTGTAAATCCAAAGTTTCTTAATGTTGGTGAGAAAATAGCAGCTGATAGGGAGTGTGGACAGAAGGTCTTTAATAAGGGAGCATATTTCCTTGGTAAGATGGTGTGGGCTAAAGGTTATAGAGAGCTGATCGATTTATTATCCAAACACAAGAACGACCTGGAAGGATTCATGATAGATGTATATGGAAATGGTGAGGACTCTGAAGCTGTCCAGAATGCTGCTAGGAAATTTGATTTGAGCATCAACTTTTTCAAGGGAAAGGACCATGCAGATGATTCACTCCATGGGTGAGGTTCTATGAAGCATTGAAGCTACTAAAAGGAGTTCACTTTCATCTTTGTCTTGTCCTATGCAGATTGCTGATACAGTTATCTGTTTTCTTCTGTTGAATTTTCAGGTATAAGGTTTTCGTCAATCCAAGTGTTAGTGATGTGCTATGCACAGCAACAGCTGAGGCCCTTGCAATGGGGAAATTTGTAGTCTGTGCAGATCATCCATCAAACGATTTTTTTAAGTCATTCCCTAACTGCTTAACATATAGAACTTCAGAGGAATTTGTTGCTCGTGTCAAAGAAGCCATGACTACTGAACCTCAACCTCTGACCCCAGAGCAACGATACAGTTTGTCATGGGAAGCAGCGACTGAGAGGTTTATGGAGTACTCAGAGCTTGACAAAGTTCTGAACAGAAATGGCCACCCTGGACGAAATGGGAAGATTAACAAAGCAAGAAAGATACCGTTACTTCCTAAATTGTCAGATGTGGTGGATGGGGGACTGGCATTTGCTCATCACTGCCTGACTGGTAACGAAATCCTCAGATTAGCGACGGGAGCAATTCCTGGTACACGCGACTATGATAAACAGCAGTGCATGGATCTGAACCTCCTGCCTCCTCAAGTTCAACACCCTGTATATGGCTGGTGATTTGAACCAGTTCACATTGAACTATGTATAGTTGAAGGATGTTTCTCCATAGGTATGTACATATTAAGTGATCCAGTTCCCGTGTACTGACAGGAGCATGAACTTTTGTAGAGTCTTGGTAATTCCTAGGGTCCATGAGGAACATGTCTTGTTGCACTCTTTGACTGTAATTATATTCCTTTTCACTCTCCAAATAGGTTAGTTATGTAGTTGAATGATCTTTCATCAGAGGTATGCGTATACAACCATTATGTAGTTCACATGATTACGAGTGCCTGTACTCTGATGGAGTCTTTTAGGGCAGTAAGGATTGTGACTTGTTTCAGTTTCCTCTGCCATAGTTTGTTCAAAAAGCTGTCTGGAGGTGTGACTAGCTGAAGCAACAATACTCAAACTGAACATTCAGTAATGAGAGAAATTAAGACGTTGATTCGAAAAATACTTCCATTTCCTTACTAACCTATGATGCAATGAAAAATTGGAATTCTCTCGATCAAGGAAGTTGGGTATTCTTTCCATTACTTGGTATGTAACCTAACGACAGTCCTTCATCTTCAAATTTCCTGTGCCTCATGTTACAAAATTGTCTGTGTGGTTGAATGGACCCTGGCATATTTATCTTTGCTACATTTAGTTTTTGTTTCTTCTTTTTTTGTTCTGCAATTCTTTTTTGGTGCTATAGATGAAAACAGTCCAGTATACATAAGACCCATTATCTATATCAGCTTGTACACTGGAGCCAAGGGTATGAAAGTACAAAAGGAAGCAAAAGCATTATGCTGAGTTGCTGATGTGGCCCAAGACGGGTGTATCACTGTATATTGGCAACTTAAAAGTGGAACTAATATAGGATAAACAATATGCCATCAAACACTACCAAAATAGGTTCCTCCCTAGCAGTGATGATTTTTATCTTGATTCTTTGTTGTTTTAAAGTGTTAACAATTAATTTACGATAATCTAGGGAATTGTACATGAAAGGCAAAAATGTTTAGGCTGCTCCTGACCGCAGTTTTTAGGACTCTTTAAAGTATGATGCTCGCCTCTTTGATCTTTGAATAAAGCCTAGTAGCGAACATTTCAAATCATGGCAGTAAATGGTGCATAGAGAACAAACTTTGCCCATGATTTACCTCTTTGATCTTTGAGTTAGAAAGCCAAAACCCCAGCACATAATTTGAGACATATTAGTTCATAGAAAATGACTAATACACTGCTGAAGAAAATTTTTATTGCTTTGATCTACTGTATCCTTTTCAAAAGTCTATCCTCGAAAAGTCAGTCTATTTGTTTCCTGAGCAACTTGGTGTTAGTGGTTGACAGTGCATAGTTGAACTAAGTAATCGCTTTATTATAGCCAATTTTGCACGCTATGCACTGTACCCCATAACTGATGGTTGATATGGTTATGAGTTATGACCTATTGTATCCTTTTGAAAAGTTCTATCCTCAAAAGGCAAGTTTGTATGTTTCCTGTATAACTTGGTATTTAGTGGTTGACAGTGCAAAGTTCCACTAACTAATTTCTTCTTTTGTGCAAATTTTCCATGCTTATCACTGTTGTATCCATAACTGACCTGACCATTGATAGTGAAATGCACTGGCACTTGTAAGTTGTAACGGCACATCTGCTTATTGCTTATCAGCAGGCCGTCTTCTTATTATTTCCAGCTCCTTGAAGAATTATCTAATCTTACGAAGAATTTATAGTTTGAAAGTTAGCATAAGGAAAGGGTTGATGTTGGCAAACTTTACGTGAGTTGTTATGATATCTGTTTTTGACTAGATACGTACTGCCATGCATGAGATTAATATTATACTTTGGGAATTTCACGTATATCTGTTACTTTAACATCACACCTTGGAATAATGATTCTTGGCTTACTGTTACTTTAGTACTGCTACACATTGAGAGGTAGTTTATTGTTCTTCCGTTATATTTAGAAGAAGATTTTTTTTTCATCTGCTGAGAAAAGCTAATTGGTGTCCAGCTGTGGAAGACAGTGACATTTATCATCACAATTCAGCATCATAATTACTTCTATAAAACGAAGAATTAGTCACTTGCTGTATGCACATTTAGTATTGTACTTCATACTAGCTTACTTTTATCCCATTTAGCAAAGGCTTCTGATACAGATATTCTCCATGTCAAATATAGAACATCAATAGTCAAGTCCCACCGAAGATTGTCTGCTTCTCAACTCACTACATTGATACCCACATCCTTCTGAGTGTTTTCAGGGTTTTTGAAGCGGGCAAGTCGCGCAAGGATATCAACAGATTCTGTGATTTGCTTCGTCTTCGTAACCAAGTCTGAGAGAAGAGATGCAATAACAGCAACATGCATCGCTTGTACCAGATCTGCATCCTCTGCCAATTCGTCTCTGAGGCCTTTTGCTGCTTTGATTGCTGCAGACATGTGAACGTTGGCTTGGGATGGTAGAGTCATCATCCGCATCGCTGCTGAGAGTTCTCGGAGCGCCTTGGCCGAGTGCAAGCTCATCTGACGGCATGCTGTTCGAACCTCTAAGCATAGCTCCGGATGTGCTTCAGGATACTGTGAGCAGGGAAAAGGCTGTAGGTGAGTAACATGGTCCTGTAACCCATTGATCACGAAATAGATGGATCTGCAGTTACCTCAGTTCTTGTGAGGGTGATGACGTAGGAAGCAAGAGCCTCCATTGAAGAAGCGCACTGGCGAGAAAGAGCACCGAGCTTCTGGTAGTGGCTCCATGGGTGCCGGAATTTGAATTTGCCATGGCAAGGCTCCCACTTGGCAAAATTGCACTGCAGTTTTGGGAACACATGCCATTGGATCGGATTGTTACTTCTATAATTTTTGGATTAATTCAGGAGCTTTAATTTGGTGCTCTGCATAAAGTGCACGCATGGTTTGCAAAGTGAGGTGAGCTTACCAAAGAGTCCTCGGTGGCCTTGGAATTGAGGACGGTCTTGTACACTTGGAGAAAGGGTTTAGCTTCCAAATTCTCGAATGTAGCGTTCTCTCTGAAGCATTCAGATTCGATTCCTGCATACGTACGTGTACAGCTTTTAGTCCCAAACTCTGGTATGTTTCGAATCTACCGGAAGTTATTCTTTCTTTTCTTTGCAAACTTCTTCCTAGCTTCGTTGACAGTAGATTTCATATATAATATAAGTGCTTTTCTCTGACTAAGACATACCCATCTTTGAAATCCTAGGTCTATGCTACTGTTTGTCATGGAACGCAATGAGAATTCGATTCGTTTTACTTTACTATACATATGGCGTAGTAGATGGTTATATACACGTGCGTGAGGCTGTAACCTTTTGGATGGAGACATGGAGCGGTAGCTATGTACCTTCAAAGAACTCGGCCAGCTTGTTGAGGTTTCCGATGGCGAGCTTGTGGAGGTCCTCCCCGGCCCAGACCGGGAAGATGAAGATGGTGGTGCAGAGGCAGGTGGCGACGCCGACGACGATGGTGGAGAAGCGCTGGTGCGCGAGCCGGATGAGCTCGTCCACGCGGTAGCTCGACACGGCCACCAGGCTGAAGGTGAGGATGAAGATGGTCACGCCGTAGTCGTACCTCGCCTTCACCTCCGGGATGAACCGCGAGAAGGTCGCCGCCGACGCTGCAAGTGCATGCATGCAACACCATGGCCGGCTGGCAGGTAAGCAAATAATAAAGCCCTTGTTTGCAAGTGCATGCATGCAACACCATGGCCGGCTGGCAGGTAAGCAAATAATAAATTAAGCCCTTGTTTGATGTTTCTCTGTCGTGATTATTGTCTTGTCAAGAAATTAAGGAAGTGCACGCCAGGCGTTTTTGCTTCGCACGGCAAACGTGCATGCACGCGGTGTGGTAAAAATGGTCATATACAGACACGGCAGGGTAACAAACGTGCATGGACACAAAACGTAACGTACGTACATAGTAAGAAGACGAAGATGGCGAGCAGCACGGGCTCTGCCTTGTCGCCACACAGGTAGGCCACCTTGTGAGCCCCGACGGCGATGAAGCCGGCGACCAGCGTCCCGAACGCTCTGTTCAGGCCTTTGCACAGTGTGCCACCTGTTACATAAACACCACCCGCACCAACAACTCATCACATAGCATGCATATATGTTTGTAGTGTGAATTAATTGTTGATAGCTCGCTTGTACGGGAAACGGCTGCGTGTGCATATGTACGCGGTTATTAGCTAGCTGCTGCTATGAAACACCGTACGTACAAAGGCGTGCGTGTATACGTACCGACGGTGTACTCCATGACGACGACGGTGGTGAGCACGGCCCACATGGTGGAGACCCCAGTTGTTGAACAGCGGCCTGACGTAGTAGAGCACGGACACCAGCGTGAGCGCCAGGCCGACCTTGAACGAGTGCGCCACCCGCCGGGGTCATCCCTCGCGATCCTGCCCAGCTTGCGGGCGAACCCGACGACCTTGCCCCGGAGCATGCCCGCCGCCGAGCAGAGCAGCTCCCAGCACCGCGCCCGCCGGAACCCGCCGCCGCCAGCTCCATTGGCACCGCTCTCCATCTGATCAATCTCCATGACGCTCGATCGGCCGGCTCTCGATCGACCAAGCTAAGACGACTCTACTCTCTCGCGGAACGGCGGCGGTATAGCTAGCTTGGTGAATCTGCAGAGAGCACACAGTGGGTAGGCTACTAGCTGTGGTGCCCCGCGTGGTATGTCCGAGCATGCGGTGCTATGTCTCGAGGCGCCGGGAGGGCTTATATAAGCGGAAGGGAGGATCGGAGGAGATCAACGCGCCAGCCGGCAGCGGCTAGCTTGGGGATAACGGGGCACCGCAACCGCAATACGGCAGCCAAAAGCGTGCCTGCCGTGGCCGCCTTTTCTCTGGGGAATCTTGACTCGCGTCCTCGCGCGTTCTCTTTCGTGTCTCAATCCCCTCTCGCTGTTGCCTTGCTTGTTTCTCGCCAACACCGGCCTTGAGCGTGCGTGGTTGCTCTTACCCTGTACGTGCAAGTGCAAACTCGAAGGCGGCCTG